AATACTTGGTATCACTGCAAAGGAAGTTGATACACGATGTACTATTATGAAACTGTTACAAAATACGTAATACATTCTGGAAATCCCATTTTACTAATCATTTTGCATTCATATTCAGAATATCCAAATCTTTTACCACTGAGAGAAGCCTCTAGGACCGAAAGTTTCCAACACAAACCTGCAGCAATGCAAAAGCTGTAAGAGTCATAATTCTCACCATTAAGCAGTAGCGTCTCAGTATATGATTTTATGACAAGCTAAGACCATCTAATGACTAGCTGTCACTGATGGGGGCAAGTCTGCTCCTAGCAATGACATCTGTGAAACTCCCTTGTAATCTGGTTCAGAAGATAAGCAGGTAGAAAACTACTTCTATATCCAAGTCCTTAACTGACTCAGAAGAGGACTGGCTAAGAGCCAGCACAGATGAAAAGGCAATATAAGGGACGCATGACTGATGATGATGAGAAGAGAGTAAAAGAGTTCCTTTTGATTAGTCACTAAACCGGCAATGGTTACAGTACCAGCTGAAACATGAAACCTACATGGAAGTCCATCCACCACCACAGTTAACTACTACTGGCAGGTAAGATAAACTAGCAGAAAACTAACCTGAGAATTGGGGGAAAAAAAAAATAATTCTTCCAGGTTAATAGGATGAAAAAGCCTAGTGGAGAGTTCATTGCTGTACAAAGAGAACAAGTGCAAGTGAAGACAGAATTGCATCAAACAATTAAGTTTGTTATGCTACTCTGGAACCATAACCTGGAAATACTCAGAAAATTCTCCAGAAAGCCTTGCAAGCCCTTGAAATCTTGAAATATTTAATAAACAAGGTTAGAAAGTAGGCCATAGGGCTGGAACAGAAATAAAAGATGTTTCTGTCAGACATGTTAATGCATCATACGCAGAGGACAAAATATTATTATAATCTAATCCATAGCCTTTCTCCTTTGTTAAACAGCAAAGCTCTGTTGACTCCATTTTATGTTTTTGGACTCTGTATTCTCTTCAAGCTGTCATTTCCCATTTCCAACTCTCAGACACCTTATGCCTTCTTGTTCTGATCAAGAGAGTAGTGTATTTTAAAACTTTGTCTTTAGTAAAGCTGTACATGCACAGCTTATAAGCAGATTTAAATTATAACTGCTACAGTAACTCTACTCCTCTTCCCTTCCCCACTTCACCAGATGTCTGTCCCCACAACTTTTTGCAGACAGGCACTTGTGTGTAATAGCAGGATTAATCAGTTCATGATTCAGGCAAAAACTAATACTACAAAAAATGACCAATTTTCTGCTGGATCAGCCACTTGATATAGCTTACTATGCAACAGCATAAGCATTAGTGCCAGCCTAAGGAGAAGGCTAGAAAAACGCAGCTGAAGATGAGCATGTAGGGCTGCATAGCTCTGACCATAGCTATAGACTCACTCTTACATATCACATTATAAAGCATAAGAAGTGCCAGCTACGGTTTTAAGCTCCAGTTTCATTACAGCCTAACCCTATCTAAATGCTTGCTAACAAAGCTCTATACTTCCTGCACTCAACTAGTATATTCCCGCCTCTCTCAAACCAGTTGTGGCAGTTTACCAAGCCATTTCAGCACACTAAGCTAGTAGAAAACTTCATGTTTTATGATTCATTTAGTTTCCTGCCAGCTTCTGTGTGGAAGGAAGTGGATAAAACTGCTGCATCAACCAGTTTGACCAGCTTAGGTTGCTTTGAAACCACCACCTTACTTAAACTGATTCAAAGGCTATCTTAACACCCTTGTTACAGATTAAACAATGCGTGTTTCAGCTTAGCTCAAATTGAACTGGAATTTATTTACAGCAACTAAAATTAAACTGCTTATACCAAAACAAGAATGTTCATGAAGAGGTCTGCATGAGGTTAATTGGTTTTAAACCAATTTAATTTATTTTCCTACAACTTTCTTTAGACATGGCCTCACATGATCCGTACAAACTGTAGCAGTTAGGTTACAAACTTGCAGCATATCAGCTTCTCCAGGACAAGTGTGAAGTTACACAATACCACTGATTGATCTCCTGCACAGCCTTCTCAGACCATCAAAAAACACAAGCAAACCAAGAAGAGCTGTATGCTTCCCTTAAGGGTTTCTCTATATACGGTCGACTTCCTCATCTACATCCTTTCTAAAACACACAAAGTAAAATTCCGAACAAGATTAATGTTACAAGAGGAAACATTCTTACCACTATCCCACCGGTTTAGAACCTTGCTGCACTTTTTCTGCCTTACACAGAGTGTAGCAACAGTTTTTAAAGTTTTGGTTTGTGATTTCTTTGCTGCAGAAACACTACACCGAACTGAGAAACTGTTATCTAAATAACAGAAGTCCAGAAAGATTCATTTTAGCAGGCCTATAATACAGCCAGCTCTTGGTAGATGACATTTACGATCCTTTTACTTTCTATGCAAAACTACATATTCAACTATCATAAAGTTGTACCACTAATTCACAGATTAGGTTGGGAATACAACAAAGCAAGATGGCTTACAGATGAGTCTAAAGATTTCTTTACAACCCACATCACTTCTTCACTAGAAAAATATATACCTGTAAGGGTTTGGGGTGGGTGGTTGTTCTTCTTGCCCTTAGAATGGTGCTGGCATGGGTTTCATCAACATACATGTCAAATTTAACAAACTAATTCAAGCAAATCAGTATCTAGTTAAATAAATATCAATTTCAATATTATTATTCAATTAGTTCAATCTCTGTTAATTTTTATCTTTACTGTGGGGTGATGTACAAAGGCTGTTCAGATCACTCTCATCGGTGTTTAAAACACTAAGAGTCCTACTGTGTACAGGCCAGCAACTTCTACACATTGACAGTTTGGGCCAATCTAAACCAGCACTGTGGTGATCCTGTCTTTGTCTTCCAAATCACTCTCCTTTCAGTCACTACCAGAGCTTGCCTATGATCTGGTTCAGGGAGCTGTATCAACAGTAAATGCACTCAGTATAAAAACATGGGTCTTTTTTCTGCCAGGTTAACTCCCTCTGAATTGACTGATTTGAATGGACTAGAGCCCACAATGCAAGGGGAGCTGCAAGATCACATGGCTGAGAAGGCTGGGAGATGAAAGATTGACCCTTTCAATAACCACAGGGTATTAAAACAGCTCACTGTCCTAGGAAACTTCATCTTAACATTACAAAAAAAAGGAAAATGTTTTCTGTGGGCTTAATTCATTGCAACAGTACACCTTGAGGTCAGACCAGCACTAGAGCTAATGTTGAGGAATTACAACTTTTTGTATGGGCCATACCCCTGTTTCTGGACCAAGTAAAGCAATGGAACGAAAATGCAGGTATCAGACTCACAAATTACTTTTAGATATTGATTATGTCAGAGTGACATAAGTAGTAGTTCAGTTCACTTGATGCATGTGAAATTCTTATTAGTACTAACATGTGTGCGTAGGTCTTTCTAAGGAGAAATGAAGGTGAGATTTCATGGGCAGCTAAATGCATCCAATAACCTCCATTGTCTCTTATATTGAGTTCTCACACTCACCAAACTCTTTCACAAACAAACTGGTCACTACCACAGCAGAAAAATGTTTCTGTTTTTAAGTTGGTTAGAAGGTTCAAGTGACTGGGATATGACAAGCACCACAAAGGAAGTAAGCAGTGGGAGTACAAAGCTGGGAGCTTACCCCATTCAGCAGCAATCATTAAAGCAACAAAAAATAATTACTTTCTGCTGGCTTAGAAAACTGAAATACAGAGATAAGTAAACATCAAAAGCAGTCCAGTGATGGAGACTGACATGCAAGTCCAGAAGCAGAGAAAGGAGAAAAGGACAAGGAAAAGGAACAAAAGGAGCAAGTGAATCTCTTCTGATCTGTCAGACCATATGTACTACCTCATCTAACCATACCATGAGAACTGAAACAAGAAATTTACTGTCTGTTGGTACAAATAAGACCTAAATTTTATAACCATGTTATCTACCCAAGCTACCTCATTAAAAAACAAAGAAATATAGATGATCTGTGTCATGCTTTCAAGACAATTACATATGCACATTCAGAGTTAACTAGACTTATGACCTTTGTAGCAGAAATGTGAAGAGCAAGTGGGTATGTGCCAAAATTTTAAAACGATAGTAGTAACCATTGCCGCCATTTTACAGATATGGCTTTCAAGCAAACTGAGTTGCAAAGTCAGCTGCAAGTACAAAAGGAGATGGACAGGCAGCTGGCAGTCAACTACCATGAACTGGAGGAAACAATTACGTGCAAGTATTCTGACTGAAGGGCATTACTGTCCCCCCACTCCAAATGAGAGTGGGTATGTTTACACTGATATAAGTGGTTACATATTTGGCTTTCTTTACACTGAGAGATAACATCATTTGCCTGT